CTTTTCCCCATCCCTACCCCCAAGACCCATCCGAAGGTGACACCATCTCCTGGCAGGGTGGCCCAGGAGAGGAAGGAGGACCATGGAGCAGACAGGGATAAGCAGGAAATGGTTTTTTGGGAAGGGGATCACGCCGGAGATGCTGATCCCAGCTGGGAAGCGCAGGAAGCTGATGCCGTGCAGCAGAGCAGGGAGCAGCAGCGCAGCAGAGCGAGGTGTCACCATCCCCCCACCCTGGTAACGCCCCCCAAGGGGTGCAGCACCCAGGACCAAGCACATCCCTGTCCCCAGCTGGACCCCAGGACTGCCTAGCCATTTGGGGACCCCCCAGGAGCACTCCCACAACTGAAGTAGGACCCAATTGTCCTCCAAAAGAGGTGAAACCTCTCCAAATGTGCTGCCAGCCAGGCTGCCAGAGCTTGGGGGGGTTCAGACCCTGTGGGGGTCACCCCACTGCCTGTCTGGGACTGGGAGCTGCACCCCTAGTATGGGCGAGGAGAGGTGTTAGCGTTGGTTTGGGGGCACGGGGAGGGTTGGCAGGGTGTGGGAGGGCAGGGGATGCCCATGCTGGGGCCAGGCAGTTCTACCTGAGAAGAAATGGGCTTTGAAGCCCTTTTTGGAGACGGTGTTGTCAGACTTGAACTCGATCCTCATGTTGTTGTACTGGGAGGTGATGACATCAGGTTTCTCGGCGCCGCAGAACTTGCCGTGCAGCTTGGAGTCAGCTGTCAGCCCACTGCGAACCTCCACGAAGTCATATTTGCACACCTGCAGGGGGACACAGGTGGGGGGACAACAGTGTTGGTGCCACCCTGAGGGTCACAGCAGCACTGGGGGCTGCACTTGGAGGAGAGAGATTTCTCTTCCTGACTCACATCATTGCCTTCGGTCTCGAAGAAGTCAAACTGGAGGGAGATGCGGTACTGGGTGGGAGCCACCAGTTGCCAGATGCAGTTCTTGTTGGGAGGGTACTCCTTGGGCCACCCCGGGCTGGTGATGGAGCCGTTGAGCTTGGTGAGGAAACCTCCACAGGCAGCTGCAGGGCGGGAGGCACCCAGTGCTCCCGCGGTTAGGGATGCTGCAAGGGGCACTGGGGGGTGTCAGGGGGTTTTGGGGGACACTCACCCTCACAGCGCCGTTTGTCAGATGCCAGCTCATAGCCAGGGTCACAGGCACACTTGTAGCTGCCCAGGGTGTTGACACAGCGCTGCTCACAGCCGCCGTTGTTGGGCCGTGAGCACTCGTCCATCTCTGGGCAGGGCAGAGGGGATGAGCAGGCAAAGGGATGTGAATCCCAACCCCCAACAGCTCCCAGAGCATCCCCCACCTTTGAAGAAGTTGACAGCAAACCCAGCCTTGTTGATGGAGCCATCAGAGACGAATTTCATCCAGAGTTTGTTGGAGGTGCTCTTGATGTCGTCGGGTTTGTCGTAGCCACAGTAGTCGTAGCCACCGGAGCGGCCGATGAGGCTGCTTGACTCGCTGCTGCCATCCCGGATCTCCAGGTAGTCGTAGGCACAGCTGTCGTGGCGTTCAATCTGGTGGGGAGGGGGGTAAGGAGGAGGGTGTCTTGGTCCTAGCACCCCCCAAACCCTGCCTGCCCCTTGCCCACACACCAAGGGAAGGAGGGGAAAGCTGCTGCATAGGGACACTGAGGCAGTGCAAGGGATGAGGAGCCACCCAGGGCAGCCCCAAGCCTGACCCATGGGGTGCATTTGGTCAAGGAGAAGCTTCTGGGGAGATTCCCCCTTCCCAGCACAGCCTGGGGGGATGCTGACCCACCTCGAAGGACTGGAAGGTCAATCCCACGTGGAAGCCCTCGGAGACAGTGATTTTCCAGATGCACACCTTGCTGGGCCGGTAGTCATCGGGGTAGTT